CTAAGAAAATAACTGTGTCTGGGGGAAACAAATAAGTAACTTAATTTTAGGTTAATGATCAAACTTGGCAAAAAGGTTTACACTAGAATGGATGGATATAATGCAGACTGACACAAAGCCTCATCAACAAATCATAAGCAACAAACAAGACCAAGGTAGACTAAATACCAAACTGACAAGAGTCAATAAGAGAGTCAATTAACTATGAACGAGTCTTCGACTTTTCTTATTATTGAGAAACCTAAAAGACTCGTTTCAACTGAGACAGATCAGGAAGAAGAGGGCCAAAGCATTATACATATTTTATGTTGGAGTCATGTGAGTATTCTAATAGGATGGTCTGCTGCCAGTAATTGGTTCAGATTGGAGTGCTAGGGATACTCTAGAATCCATCCCTAGTTTCTGTACTTGGTTCAAAGTTTATGAGAGACATATCAAGAATCAGGTTCTGTTCTTCATACAAACACAAGGCCATGATGTTCATTTGGATGCAAAAAAAAAAGAAGAGTAAATTTGAGATCCAGAGACATACACCCAAGTTTTTCTTCAGCTTCTGTATGCACGAGAAGAGTTCCAGTTTCTAGCCAATGCATAAAAGCAAGCTGAGAGACAACTGCCTGTGTTTCACTTCTCCAGTCCCCATGGTACCTAAATTACAAAAACCAACCTTTATCACTACCATTTGCAGTATATACATTTCAAGTATCACTGCATATGGATATCAAAATATACCTGTAGTACTGTCCAGGGCACTCACGAAGAATTTCAGCAAGCTGACCATAAAACTTCTTCAAATCATTGATTTTTTCCTTAGCTTTCTCGATAACCTCTGATCCATCAACAGAAACAAACAATCTTTATAAGTAAACAACCAAATAGCTTCAAGGAATTACTTAAATTCAATACTCATTTCTTTACTTAAGAACAAGTATCACCAATTTCCGAATCTAACCCAGGAAGCAAAGATTCCAGAGAAGAAGAGTGAATCATTACCGGGAATGGGTCGCGATTGATGAACGAGAAGGAGGTTAGCTTGAATGAGCCTAGTAGAGGACTCAATCTCCATAACAACAGCACGAATCTGCTCACGCAAAGCTGCAGATTCTTCAAGCTGAACACGGAAACTCTCGAATTGCTTCTCAAGCGAATGAGACGACGGTGGAGGAGGAACCTGATCGTCTGTTCCTGCCAT